TACAAAATATTGTCCAAGGCAAATATCATAATATTATAATACAACCGCTTCGACAATAACAATTATTATAAATTACCTATAACAACGCTAGTGTAACGAAAATTATATGGGTCGTTTTGATTGTAAAACGCGATAGATTGTTGATGACGAATATTTAGGGATTTCGAAATTTCCTCGGACACAGCTCATATAACATAATAATATGTACCTGTACGCGTAAGACAGACGCCCACGTTTTAATTATAGAGTGGATGCATAAGATGTCGTTGAGAAATCAAACGAAATAGTACAATTTACACTGATAATATAATCAGTATTCCGATGTGTTTTGCAACACGTCTTGCAGATTTCCGGCCGGACGAAAAATTTAACGCGTTAAAATCGCGGTTAGGGAGAGAGAGTGGAGACACTCATATACATTTGCCCCGGCCTACAGCGTTATTCAGGCTGTTGTTTTTCATTTTCGATATTTAACTCGGGCAGGGTTTGAATAAATAAAAAAAAAAAAATGTATACATTCTATGAACAATGTAGCGTTTAAACGTCATTCCACTTTAACGTGTAACATTGTTGTGTTTTTTTTTTTTTTTTTTTTTAAATTTACTGTTATTAATCAAATTAAACATTCGTTAAATGCTGAATTAAATATATCGAATTTAATAGTACATTTGTATTCAAGTAGCTTATTTAAAAAGTACCACAATCGATTAGAATGAAATTATCGACATTTTCGTTTTTTGTCCGTTTGAATCGATTATAGTTCTAAGTTACATCATGTGTTTTATCCGTTTCAATCGTTTAATACGTAATAATCAAAACGTTTTGAAGCCCTGTATTTAATTCGACAATAATCGGGACGTAGAGAAATCGTTTTGAAGTTGTCAATCCGGCAAATATTTAAATGAGCGAATTTTATATTTATTTACCCGTATTATTAATGAGACCGTATAAAGAGTTTTCCTGTAGGTTCCTGTCGTCTTTGCTTTCATCCCACAAAATAATCGTCAGAACTTTGTAATTTTCCTTTTCTTTTTTTGTACAGTTCGTCCAATTCAAAAAAACTGTTTTTTTAATTTATCATGAACATTGTGGATATAAAATAAATCGTACAAACATAATAGTAATATATACGACAGCCAAAGTTTTCGTAAAATAGCTTATGGATCATAAGTATTACGGACGTCGAGAAATTTGTAGGCGTTTTTTTTTATGGTGTTGCTAAATAAAATATATGGAAATAATTGATCGGTCTTTCTTTTGTGAAAAACTTTAATATTTCGACATTGTGCCTACGGGTTTGTATAGATAGTACCGTAAATATACATTTAACCCCATCACTCCCACGAATAGCTATATATCGAGATTTTTATTATTATTATTATTATTGTTGTTTTTTTTTTTTTACTTAAAACATCTCCTTTTCAACAGCGTGGGCCTGTTACGTAATACTTAATTGGAACGTGCATTATAGACAGCTCTAAAGTCTTTACCTATCGTTTTTATTCGTATCACCTACGGAGGTCCACGTTTGTGGATCGTTTAGTTTAACGTCATTTAACGTCATGTGGTAACTCATGTACGGGGACAAAAAAAAATCGCATAATTGTCAATAGTATTAAAAAACTAAAAAAAAAAAAAAAAACCTCAGTCGTTAGATATTTCACAATGAAAATTGCGATAATCGCCTCCGGATGCAGTTATTACCGCGATCCCTCGTACATTGCACGTATTGTTATTTCACGATAATGGCGAGTATAGTATTGTCTGGATAGCTTCATAGGAGAACCGTCACCGTCTAGGCAGAATCACCAACATTTAACTGAGTCCCAAACTAATTGCCGGTGTTCAATTGAGACCTGTGTGTATTTCGTATAATACGGTATGAATTCGGAGATAAAATAGTTTTTTTTTTAACAATTTAAGCATATTGATCGGAATTACTATAAAACCTATTATAATGTTATGCTTCCAAATTCACTCGCACAGGACATCCAAATTTGTAAACTTGTTGAAGTTCTAATACGCAGTCAAATACACATACGTAAAAAATACTAAGAAAACATTATTTCACACACCGTCCCGGTAAAACTTCAATAGTAAATATTTACTTCCTGTTAAATTTCTCTAATATTCTTTCACGGAGACCAAGGTGTGAGAGAGGCATTATTTACTAGCGGAACATTACGGGAGATATAACTTTCGTCTTTACAAATGGTACAAATCGTTAAATATCAAGTTACATAATAGTGCCGGGAATTAAGTTGAAAGTTATAATCAACTTTTAACTTTTTAATGTGTTCGCTGTCAATGTCCGGACTTGGTTTTTTTCTCGAGATATTCGAGATATTCCTCTGTGTTTAAAATAGTATTATAAAAAAGACGTTCTGGCATAATGGGGAAGAGTGCAGCCACTGTTATAGGTAATTTATTGTATACCTGTAAGCAACGATAAACAATTGTTTACGAAAAAACGACTGTGAGCAAAATTCAGTTGATAGTGATGCTTTGTCAACAATATATATTGCTATATTATAGTAAAATAATTAAAAAGGCTTTATATATTTTCTTTAATAATATTTATTTAATGTTATACCGATTTTACCAGTTTTTCTATGGTTTTTTCACGGCTTTTCACATTTGATGAGAAAACTCTTGACAAATTCGAAAAATGGCCTCCTTTTTAAAATACCTCCTCACATCGGGTTCCTTTCGAAAAAGGTACTGCACGTAAAAATAGGAAAAAGTCTTCTGGTAGAAAAGTTGTGCTCAAATAAAAAAAAATAAACATCTTTGTAAAACCATAAGCTTCCTCGCTCCACTCAGAATCTAAAACGACTATTTTGTTTTCGAACTGAAAATAATTGTGGTTCCTTTTTTTAATTTTTGACGAGTCAGTATATTTTTTAAAATAAAATCGTATTATTTACAGCGTAATACGTTATATACGCGTATTGGCAAATAAAAAAACTTAAAATTTACAAAAAAATAATAATAATATTAACTACACAGTTTTCATAAGTTGTATGCACGCATGTTGACACCCGTTTAGAAGTAATAATTGCTGTCGAGAACGTGTTTTTGTAAAATGAATATTTTCGACGTGTCGTATGCATGCTAAAATATTTTCATAACGAGACAACAATAGTCTCGCGTGTGTTTTTTTCGCAGTTATTATTTTTACACGAAGAATGCAAATAAATTCTAATTATTATATTCGTGCCCGCGTGTATAATATTATTTTACTGTAAAATGTATGTAAAAAAAAAAAAAAAATAATAAAAAATACCGACAATCATATGACACCGTTTGTACTCGTGTCGTAGATGTCCGCGCAAAATGCGAATTATTTTCGAAACGTATTTAGTGTATATTATATAAATAACGGACACACCGTATCGTTTTTCCGACGAGCAAGTATAAAAATAATTTAAGGTTTTCACGTACGGTACACGCGGTATAAACCACGGGGGCGGTCACAGCAAGAATATAGCGGACCACACAGACCACACCTATACATATTATATGTGATACTGAATGTTCGTCGAAAAAAAAAAAAACGAATTTGTTTGATCAATAATAATAATAATGTGTTATAAGTTATAACGAATTTAAGACGGATTCAACCCCGATACTAAACTAACATCTGCCATATTTTTTTCTACGAAAAGAAAATCCGCCATGTGTATAAATAATGAGAACAATACTTTGAGTAGGATGGTTTAAAAAATGAAAAATATATTTTACGGTTTTATTGAAACGAGAATAATAATAATTTCGCGAAAGCCTTATTCGAAAAAAAAACGATAAATAATAACAACTATAGTATGTAAAATGTTGATGATTTATACGATTTTCGTCGAAGTTTTAACTTTCAACGTTTATAAATAAACAAATAAAACGGATTTGAGAAATTGTTAGTACTACGGTAAAATAGCTTTCCATGAAGAACCTGGTGTCGGATTTCCTAGCGTTTAGAAATTATTTGAGAGTATTAACAATAACGATAATAATAGCAAAGGAAAAAAAAGGACCATTAAAAGAGAAAAGTTAGTCGGGAAAAATATAAATAAATTTAGTATTATAAACAAATAATAACACATATTGACGACGATTATTATTATAATAATAACAATCTTCTTCTTCTCAATTACCTCCATTCCATACATTTGGCTCGATCACCTTGGACCGAAAACGTCCACTAGTCCCAATCAACCACCACACATATACTGATCGTCCTCGATGGTTCTCAAATTTTTTTCAATCGTATCCAATTGCCTCTTTTTCTTACTTCTTTTCGCTGTCTTTTATCCTATATTTATTTTCTATACAATTCTTTCTGTTTTCAATTCCTCCCTTCTCATGACGTGCCCAAACTATCTCAGTCATTTTTCTTTCATGTTTCCACTATCCAATCCACGTTTACGCTACCTCCTATGTACTCGTTCCTTATTCTATCTTGCCCCGTTGCTCCACTCAACCACTTAAGTGTTCTCATCTCTGCTACACTCGATTTCTGTTCTATTTTTCTGTCCACTGCCCAACATTCCAAGCCATGTAACATAGTCGGTCACTCGTTCTCACCACACTCTTGTAAAACTTACCTTTAAATCTCATTTTAATATTCTCCTATCACTAACAATAATCATAAATAACGATGATGTTTTTTTTTTTTTTTTTTTTATAATAATATGTCGAGGATTGAACCTGGTGCCTTCCATCCAAATGCAAAACGAACGTTCTTCCACTGATCTGTATCCCCGTATAATGATTTACAATTTACAATTTCTATTCCAATCTCTCAAAGAGCAGATAACATTTAAAGCTGTTGTACAGATAAAATCATCAGAATAATAATTAACAATGTTCAAAACACATTTTTTTTATTTTATTGTAAATTCGAGTAATATGAAAGTACAAGAGCAAAACGGCAAGGTTAGGTCGCTCATGCTTGATATCGTCTAAGTGCTGGCGGTTCAAATAGCCAAACAAAAAACAACTACCTATATTTTTCTTGACACTTTTCCATCACGACCGTTTTGCGGCGGACAGTGTGAGCATCTTGTCACGACGTCAACCGTACTCGAGTCGAAACCGTCCCCGGAGCCGGTGATCTTCAGAGGTGTAGTGGGCACCGTCGCGGCCACGGCCACCGACTCGGCTGGTCCGTTCGTATTAATATTCGTTGGGCGCGGTGTAGGTGAGAAGGAATTCGGTTTAGTTATTTTGGCGTAGGCCACCGAGTACATATGTTGCGGTATTGAATTAGACAAATACCGGCCGTCTAACTCGCTCAAATTAGCAAAATTCGCTTGACGTTCCGTCCACTCAGTTGGTGTTGCCAGGTCCAGCACATCTACCACAGACCGACCGATTGATCTGGTTGCGAACCAGGTCGTTGGATCATTGCAATGTCTACAGTGCATGGTAAATGCGATTTGCTGACCATAGGTACTTGAAATTCAATATAAAATGAGGAAAACCAAAAAAGTTGTATACTCGTATGGATATGTTAATCGCTTACTGAAATATTCCATCTCAAGCCTATCGCCATAACAAAAAATTATTTCAACAATGACGATCTAAAATAATTTTAAATAAACTATCAGCTATATTGTCGACTAGGCAACTAGTATTATAATATAATAATTATATTATAATGAAAATAAGAACTCGTCAAGAGACAAGCTTTTACTATTTTACTCCGGTTCGGTAAGTATATGCTTTTTTTGGTTTTTATGTAGATAAAATGTTTAGTACGGAAAAATTGATACAGAGTTTTATACACGGTTTATAATAAAATTTACTTCATAGTTAAAAATAAAAGTCGAGCATAAGTAATATAGTATTTTTTTCTACATGTTAAAATTTCGGCGAAATCGTAAAAATTATGTAATTTTGAGTAGTATTTTCCGATTTAGATGAATATACATTTTTTCACCACATACAAATGGCTTCGTCACTCAGAATCATTTTTTGTGAGTAATACATTATCATAACAATACAATAAAATGTGGAAAATAATATATAATTGTTGGGATAACGAATGCTAACGGAAGATTAATCACCCTGGAATTAAAAGAAAAACGTTACTATAATAACGTGTTGTTGAGATGCAATATCATCGCATCTAGTTTCGCTTCGATTAAAATCTGAAATTGATAAATAAATATGTTTCAAATAATCAACATATGTAATTTCATGTTTAACTTGTTCTATTGAACCGCAGCAAACGTATCCACTCGACCGGTAAACTTCATTCAACGTGTTATTAATAATGTATTTTGCGTCACCTCTCAGCTGTGGTCCAATATGTGGCCTACCTTATTATTAAAATATAAATTAAAGGTCTTGAAGATATTATTCAAATATCGTTTCATTATTCGGAAATAAGGAACGACGGAATTCGTCTTGAATTTACTTAGCAAGTAGAGAAGAAGTAAAAAATATTATCTATTCTTCTGACTCGGTATTTAATCATGTTTTTTTTTTTTTTTGTTTCGGATATCAGACTTATCATCTAGAATTCTTGTCAAACGTACAATGTCCTATATAATATACCTGATTATTAGAAGTTTAAATATTTTAGTTATTATTTATAATTTATTGATCTACGCTTTGCAAGATAACGATTAAAAACAGCAGTGATAATATTTTTACGAATATAAATAACAAAAACGAGTATTGTAAATAAAAATAGCGAAAAGTAGACTAGAATAATACAGTAATAATGTTTCACAAATTTAATAAAATACAATTTCGCTGTGTGGTCTGAGTATGGACAGTGGTGTGTGAATTTATTAGACTTTCGTTCAATCAGGTCGTTACGTATGTATAATTAGTTTTACTAGTGCTAATTTCGAATATCTGTGTACCCATTCCTAGGTACATGAAATGTAACTTTATTTAATGATGTGTTAGCATAAATCTGGTCCGGAATCAAATAACGATCTGATAAATCATTGGTTTAGTGTCGAGGGTAGCCGAATTTAAGATTTCGGATGAGTGGTCCGGTGTACATTGTATAGCCACGGGAAGGGTGAGTAATTTTTAAAACGTAACCTACAAATGAAAAAAATCGTTAAGGAAAACTTAAAGTGCGTTACGCTTTACAAGTAATTAATTCAATATATGACGACTGAAAGATTATGACCGCATTAATTTCAATCCCAAGTCTTCTACCTGCTCCACTCGACCACGACGCAAGCATTCGTTATAAATTATATAATCAAAATGAATTTAAAAATATACTCTAAGTATGTTCTAATGGAATACCTCCACATATATTTAACACCGAGGAGAATTCAACCGTTTTACATTAATTAACAGACTTAAGTGTAGCATTTTGCAAGACTAAACAACTTTACATGGAAATACGTGTTGGACAACAGGTAACTGCTGAAGGAGAGGCATTTAACAGTTTCATGGATAGAAACCAAATCTGTTGTATTTTACTTGAATCGCCAAAAATTGAATATTGAAAATGTCTGTTATCTTATTTATATTCAATTTAATATACTAATCATGTTTAATTATGTATTTCTTTCATAATATTATTTTTAATAAATATTTAAAAAAAAAAAATTTAATTAATTGTAAACATTTTATATGCTTTACAACATCATTAAGAACATGCATTTGAGATAAATGATTACTTATAGACAGTCGCGACGTGAACGGGGTTAAATTGACGCAACTGCGCCACGAAAAAGAGGGTTGGTGGGAATTGAATGTTGATGTTTATGGTAGAATAGATAAAATATACTTATTTATATGAATTTTATTATACTTTACGCTTTAAATTTGTGTTGATACAAAAAATGAGGGTGGGTTGGGTGATGAAAATTTATACTGCATCGTTGAAATGATAAGTTCACGCTGCAACTGTTTATAAAGTTCTAGTTCTTATGTCGTGCTACATAATTATACAAAATATAAAAGTTCAGTCTTTTGAACTTTGAGTACGTATTTTTACTATTTCAGTCAAATCTAAAGTTTAATTTTAAACTTAATTTGTTTAATCTTGATACTGTCCTATATCGTATATTGTGAATTAACAAAATTTAAAAAATTAAATGATATTTCCGTAATGTCTTTTGTTATTTCTAATTTTTTTCCGATTTCGCACAATTATTCAGAAAACTATTGGTAAAATTAAAAACCACTTTCATGTTCACTAACCAAACAAAACTGCCTTTCAGAAAACATACTAGTTTGAATTTCAGTGCGGAATTTCTGCATGAAAAACCGAATCGAATAAAATTTAAAATAATTAGTGAAATCATTTATGTCGTGAATCTGTTCGGTGTTCTTTTGTATTTTTTTCTTGGATTTTCCTAATTATTATGAAAACTCTTTGGAAAAATTAGTTTCTTAATCGTTTACTAAAAATCTAAAACACGCAAATTCAAAAAAAATGTTGATTTAATGCCGTAAATATTTGTTCGTTTTTTCTGTCTGGTTTTCGTCTAAGAAAAACGTTTGGAAAATGGAAAAAAAAAATACCAAAGATACATAAAAACAAAATCCAAAATGCGACAAAAAAAATGTTTCTCATCGTTTTTTTGATTCGTGCGAGATTTATGGTAAAAAAATTGTTTACTGACAAAAATAAAAAAAAAAAAAAACACATCGTAGTAAAACCACCAACACATTCGTGTCGCTCCACTCGGAATCTAAAAAAAAAAAAAAAAACCGTACAAGTTTTGTTTTAAACGAAATTGGCCGAAACGCTGTGATTATAGTATCCATCTAATAACGTTACGAACGGCAGGTCATAACGTTACGGAACATTGAAAAAATAGCATAATATTTTTTTTTAACTTAATGAGATCCCATCTCGCTCCGCTCCGATTATTAGAATGTAACAGAAAATAAAAAATTATTATTATACGTCGAGTAGAAAAAAAAAAAAAAAATACTCGACGGGTAAAATAGTAATTATTCATNTTATTAGAATGTAACAGAAAATAAAAAATTATTATTATACGTCGAGTAAAAAAAAAAAAAAAAAATACTCGACGGGTAAAATAGTAATTATTCATCTAAACACACACGCGTATATATTTATATACAAGCCTAATGAATTTGTTTACGTAATTGTATTCGGCGGCCGGTCGGTCGCATTGTTAGGTGGGCATACGGCCTACTTCCTTCGCGGGCGGTTCGACAAACGCGCCGGTGTACCCGAACAGCGCGTATCGAAACCAATGATAAAAAATCCACGTTAACGACGCGCACGTTTCGACGTAAAACACTCGTAATGACAATGTTCCGTACGGTCATCACGAGTACGGGTTCCCTTTCGGGCGCGTCGTCCACACGGTACGCGGGTCGTAGGGTGACGCGGTGACAGCAGACACGACGCGACAGGCTCTGGGGCTGTAGAGCGTATTGCGGCGGAACTTGCGAATTCAGATGGCGAACGTGCCGTCGCGGCCGTGAAACACGTCGAGAGCACGCGCGCGTCCGCACTGCGCTGCACGGCGGCCGCGTCGCTCTCGGGACAGAAGCCGTCGGCTGTCGTGAACGCGCGACAGCGGTGTTCGCTGTACAGCTCGGCGCAGATCGCACAGTCCGCGACAGTTAACGCCGCGGCAGTGAATTTGTTCGTGACAGTTTTCCAGGGACAATTGTCACGTGGACAAAAGCCGGACACCGTTTTTCCCCAACGAATCGGTCGACGGTACTGATTTGTCCTAGGGACGTCGCGGCAACGGCGTGAAAACAATATTGATTCGGGGTAAACATCTCGGGGAAACTAAAAAAAAAATAATAAATCATTTTCGATCATCTGTGTTCGACCGATATCGGTTTGGTATTGGACAGAGTCGAAACTTCTGCAAACAGTGCCGGCACGACGGGAAAAGGGGGAGGGGAGGAGGGCAGGGCGAGCAGGACCCTTGCCCGAAGCCTCGCGTTTTTACGAGGACCTCGTGACTCCTCGAAACGTGTACTTTTTTTTTTGTACATAATAATATAAATCGTTAATAATAACAGCGTACGAAAAATAAGAGCTCGTGTTCTTCGTCGTGTTATTGCAGGGGGGCACATAATATGTAAATAATTATTTTTACGGGGATTTCGAAGATACTATTGCGATCACCGGTTCAAAAAAAAACCGTCACCCGACCGTTCCGCTGCACGCACGGCCGTCAGTTCGGACAACGAGAAAAGAAATGTACAACGCGACATTGTTAAAATTTGATCGCGTTCGTTTATCGTTGATACGGTAGAGACACGGTAATTGATAACAGATCGTGCGCGTTGCTCGATCGTCGAAACCGTAATCATTATTATTGTTTACTTTTATCGTGAACGCCGTTCGGCGCTGCGCGCGCGTCTTCACGACGTTAATTCTCATACCGGGGGAGTCCGTTTCAGTTCGTTACCACAGCAATCCCGCGCGCATCTCACGACTGAAAACGGAAAATACCGGCGCATGGTGTTTTTCCTAGCATTTACACTATTCGTTATGATTTTTCATCAATATTCGAGAATGATTTATGCGGTTCCGGTTGCCCGTAAACGCCACCCGTCGATAAACGGGTGACATTATATTATGACGGTTGTGCACAACTAACAGCGCGGATAGTACGGGGGCGGTGCGTCCCGGGGAAACTTCGAGACGGCGTCTTCGCGGTCCTGGCCCCGGGAATTCGCCGCGTTTCACGGTCGTTTATTTAATAACAACGGTTTCGTACGAACGTCGTGGGTACTTTTGACGAATTTCATATTTACCATTGAATACGAATATTATTGCGTTCGAGTCGTTTCGCGCCGGGCGCGCGTCCTAATGCGTTTCTGAAACAGCGACCGCGAAATCTCCACGGTTACGCGTATTCCGACGGTATTTATCTACGTTCTGTTATACCCGTCGCGCATTAACGCGCATACGATATACTGGCGGCGTTCGTTTACTTCGCGCGCACCCTCGACTCAAATAGTTCTCCTTCAGAAAAATATTTCGAGTACACCCCATGCAGAGGCCGTTCTTATAAAAGGGACTCGCAAAAGCTATCGCCGGCCCTGTCTACAAAGTGGTTGTTTGAAATCGGTATGGTACGCGTACATTGTATTTTCTTGGGAAAAGGGTCACGATTTTTACGGCGTGGATATTATAGCGCCAAACAACGATCAGAGAATAGTATTATGAACATTTCGAACGGACCATTTCAAGCACGTATTCAGGGTCAATTTTCGGAGAGGGGAGGGTTAAAATATTTTAGATCCTGAGAGCTACAAAGATGTTTATTTTTTTTTTTTACCTGTTAACAATTTTTCTACCACAAATATTACTCGGATTTGCAAGTATAGCACATTTTCTAAGGGGAAATCCGATTGAGAAGGTACTTTAAAGAGGTAATTTTTCGATTTTCCCAATAAACGGGATACTAATGCGATACTTACACGCATATTCGTAGGGTGCGTGGGAAGGACGGGCTATGGGAGTTAAACTACGCTTGTTCCGTATTTTTTTTTCGGGGAAAAAAAAACAAGGGATAACGAGAAAATCTTTTATTGCGTGTTCGTTTTCGGGGGTGCTATCAGAAATGTTGAGAGGGGCTAGAGGAGATTTCGGGTGATTATAGCCCCCCTTAGCACTCCGCATTGTACGTCTATGCTAACACGCACTTACGACTCGCACGGTACAAAACAACCACAACGACGAAACAAACAGGCGTTCGGTTCAACACGTTTACCGGGGAGTGGCCGTGTTCGTACTCGTTATCCGTTACGATTAAATCTTCTCGCGTGATACCCATTCAAAATCATATTACATCCGTCGAACAGCGTGGCACGGGTCATCGGGCTTTAAAACCTCTGACCTATCGCTCGGGTCACGGAATGCATCGCGTACGCGCGTATACGAATCCTAATTGATAATCGGACGGTCGTGTTTGAATAACAACATAATACAGTGTTGTTGATTATTAAACGCTGTAGAATATTCGCATATGCCCAAACGCTGCGACTACCGCACCTACCGCGGCCGTACCGCTACCGCGGTCAAGGTTGCCGTCGGTCCGGGTTTTCGGGTCACCCCGGGTCGTCCCGTCTGTTGACGGGGTATACGATCTGTTTTCAGATTATCAATTATCTTCCCGTAAACCTAAAGTGTTGACTATTTCACATTGTACATCGAGGATTTGCTGGCTTCCTCATACACGGTCGCTGACATAATAATACACGAAAATTCAGACTTCATTCGACAAATTTTCTTCAAGTCTATATCGACATTTGAAACCGCGACTTTTTGATTTTAATTGCTCCGAAAATACTGATATTAAACGATAACTTAAAAAAATCAAAAGCCAACGAAATTGCCGCTTTTAATCATTTTAACGAAAACTCACGGGATTGATATTGTTGATTCGATACAAAACATTCGTGAAAAATTTCTCTCTTATCAAATAAAAAAAAAACTATTATGTTTAATATTTAGAAATAAAAACGGAAGATGCAATTTCGAAAATATTATCAATATGACACCATTAAACGGTTTTTTAATAATATGACAGAGAATTTTTTTTTTTAAATAATCGTACAACTTCTGAGTTTATAGAAAGTTATAATTTAAAAAAAAAATGTATTTTTACCTACACATATACCTAGCCCAATCTAACCTTACTCATAAAATAATAACTACCGTTTCAGCGATTGAAGTTTTATGATTACGAAAATCGTAGATACACATCATCCTCTACTCGGAATCGCAAAATAATATAATATTATAACACTAATAAGATCATTACAGACCTATAACCCCAATCTGACGTTAGTCGACACATTGTGGAGACATTTGTAAATTGTCTTTTTAAGCGAAACGATAAAACAGTTTTCATTTTCTTTTTGTCTCGCAAAAAAAAAAAAAAAAACACTTAAGTATTATAAGATTACAATTTTATTGTTTAACTACTATAATGGAAATCGATCGGTAGGTACTCTTGTGTAAAGGCGTCGTTATTCGAATTTCTCATATTATTATTTCTCCCTTGCAATTATTATTGCCGACGATCGGCTACAAAAACTCGGCAATTTTAGTCACGCTCATAAAACGATTTTTTTTTTTCAAATAATATATTTATACAGACTTTTTAATTTCAATTTTAAAACATTTACATGTGACTCGTAAAACAACAAACCGAATGCATATTGATCGGAATTCTATAATTGTGCTATCTAATATGCTATGTTCACGAAGACGATGGTTTTTAAATTGTGCGTTTAAGTGCTATGTAAAAAATAAAAAAGATCTATACTTAGTATAGAAACTTCGAGATGTCAAGAAACCGCTTTTCTTCTGGAAATTTGGCTACAACACGTTCGGTTATTTTATCCCAAATCGTGACACGGTTGGGTAGTGATGGATTTACAGGGGGGGTCCAGGAGGTCTGGACCCCCCAGACATTGATATAATTTCAATAAAATGTCATCTAAAAAAGAGGCGTCTATTAATAGAGATACCTTTTAAATGCATATTATTTTTTCAGGACCCTTCCCAGGAAAACGTTCAAAATCCGCCACTGCGTTTGGGCACCATATTATTTCGGTTTCAAAACACGTTCGGGACAATTCAATATATAATCTTTATAGACAATAAATATATTTATATATGTACAGGGTTTTACATATGTAAAGTATAAATCTTTGCTATCCTCAATAATGTAACCGCATGCGCGTGGTAGTATTATAATATGGCTATGGAACGGGGACTCGCTACGGTATTAGGTAGACTGCGATATCGGACAGACAGACCGTCGATGTACCGAAAATCTATCAGTAGTTTCCGATTATCGAAGTATGTGTCACACGAAACTTTTACAAATGAATTAATAATATGTTAACAATGAACTCCTTAAATAGTTTACGACGGTTGTAATGATTTATTATTGTATTACTGTAATATTATTTACTAGCTGTCCCGCCCGGCGTTGTCCGTGCCAAAAGAAATATACCTAGTCCAACAATGAATAATTAAGTAACCTGCAGTTCCTATAGTAGGTAAGTACTGTTCGATATTGTGCATACCCTCGTGAAAACTATTACAAGCCTTATATTTATTTATTTTTTTTTTCTTTTATTCGTCCTAAAATTGTATTTTTATCCTTATAAACAACGTAACTCATAAATCAACATAAATAATTAGATTTTCGTAAAAAAAAAAAAAAAAAAATACCAAAAGCCCTGTGTGAAACCACTCTTAGGGAATATCTAGGCAAAAGGCGTAGCTAGTAACGTAGTTATTTTTAGTCAAGAACTATATTTACACAAAAATTCAGCTTAATCCTTTTAGTTGCTTTGACACGAAGAGGAATGCAACGTAAGCTTAATGATAATAGGCCAGTCCACAGAACAAAGAACTCCGGGATAAAACAGCAAAAAGGGCAACAAAAATTAGCCGTGAAATCGAACAAGCGATCGAAACAACAGGTGCTATTGAATGACCAACTGAAGGTGATTTATTTAAAGAATTAGAAAACAATTATGCGTAGAAAGTATGAACGTAGACGTATGCGATAACGACGATCAGTTAATTGGGCTCCTAGATATAATCCGTCAAGGAAACGAATCCCTCTTTTTATTATACTGGCTGCTAGTAGTCTTGACTTAACGTTGCAAGGACCATCCGTATATTTTAGTGAATCCGAACAAAATTAAATTAACTCAGATGCCGAAACTTTTGGAAGCCGATCGGAATCACCTAATAACGAATTTCTAGACGGCGTTGATCCAGACGCGTAAGAGTTTGAAGACGTTTTACTCGATTTTATATATCCCGAAACTTAAACAAGCTATCGAACGAAACCCGCCCGTAAATCGGCACTTTATTGCAAAACACGACGACTACATCCACGTCGGGCATATTTGCTCACAATAAAACTGCGATTGTCGGTGCTCATAGTTGCGAGAATCGAAAAAGTAATACTTCTACATAAAACCACAATTACGAAGCATTGTTCAATCAATTCAACTGCACCCCGGGTACTGGTACTATATTCTTTAATACTTATTTACAAGTGGCCGATCCATTGAAACAATTGGTGGGTTTGGTGAGAATTGAAGACTGTGTGATAGATTATCAACATGTCTGCTTTAATATAAAGTACTATTATAAATCGTTTCTTCGACTTTTTTTTTTTTTGTTTATACGACAAAACTTTAGTATATTTAATGTTCGTACTGTATATCTCTGTTTATAAACGATTTATAATAGTACATTATATTAAAAACTAGACATGCTGATAGACGTTTAATCGATCAACATGGTCTTCAATTTTCATCAAACCCACCAATTGTTTCAACGAATTGGTCACTTATAGATAAGTACCAAATAATATAATACCAGTAGTTGAGCTGCAACTGAATTGATTGAACAATGCTTCGTAATTGTAGCTTTTTGTAGAAGCATCAGCTTTTCGATTTTCGCAACTATGAGCATTGACAATCGTAGTTTTATTGTGAGCAAATATGCCCAACGTGGATGTAGTCATCGTGTTTTGCAATAAAATGCCAATGTATCGGTGGGTTTCGTTCGATAGCTTGTTTAAGTTTCGTGATTTTTCGATCCACTCTGTCCTTGTGCTACGCCAAGATCTGATAGCGTCGATATACTAATGTTTTTCATGAATATTATGTTTACTAACGACGATATGGCTAAGTTCGGGTAAGACGTCCTCAAATGCTTGTGCATCAACATCGTCTTGAAATTCTTCATTAGGCGATCCACACAGGCTTTCATCAAAAGTTTTGGCATCTGAGTTTATTTTATTTTGTTCAGATTTACTCAAGTACGGTCCTTAAAATGTATAGTAGACGGTATTATAGAAAGAGGGCTTCCCTTCACGTATTATATCCAAGAGCCCAATCTGATCGTCGTTATTGCATATATGTATGTCTATAATGTTTACGCATAATAATTCTTTAAAGAAGTTACCTTCAGTTAGTCGTTTATAGGCACTTGAGGTTTCGATCGTTTTTCCGACTTTGCGGGAAATTTTCATTGCCGTTTTTGCCGCTTTATACCGGAGTTATTTGATTTTTCGACTAACTCAGCCATCGTCAAGTCAACGTTGCATTCCTCAATGCTGTCTCTGTCACTAATAATTATATCCGCGTCGGTGTAATCGGACTGCATAGCATGTTCTTCATTAACTTGCAGTTGATACATTGCACTGAATACGAAATACTGATCGGGTTATATGCGAAATTCTAAGCCCCAAAGTGGTTAATTATCTAATCATCGTCAATTGACATTCAAAAATGCAGTATGATTAAATATTGTATCAGCCAATTTACAAGTGACACTTGATTGATTATTTACCATCATCTGTTGATTTAATATTATTTTCAATAACACTTCAGATGTCATCATAGATAAATAATCACTCAAGATAATATTATGCCAAAAGCCACTTACGGATTTAGAATATTTTTTAAAGCTATAATTAGCCCACAATCGTATTTTATTTGTGTCTCTCCAGCCCTAACATGGTGAATACAATTCTTTAATTAAAAAATTGTAATAATAATTTTATAAAAGCCGAAAATGTATTCGGTAATTGGGGGGGGGGGGCAATTGGTGGTCTCTTCAAGAGATCCAATCATATCATGCTTATGACTCTGTTATACCTTATTGAAAGGCTTATAATAGAATTTCGAATGACGTGTACTTTGATGTTTTCACAAGTGTTGATATTGCAAATGGACTACTCATGTGTCAATAGGTCGTTACCTATTACGACCTTGATTAAATATATAGTTGTTTTAATGATACATTAGCCATTTTATCTTCGCCGAATTACGGGAAAAATGTTTTTTTCGACGCTGTAGCAGTTTTTTTCATAGATCACATCAAAACCGGCAATGTCAATAAAACCAAAAATTTTGCTTTCGCAGATACAGCCAACAAGCGTTTAGTTTTATGAAATGAACCCCTATTATAAAGCTTGTCACGTTGAAAAACTTGAAAACATTCTCGGGGGTAATACAACTATAGTACATATTAAATATCAATAAGTCAAGCCGCTCTATGGAGCCACCAGTTCATATTGACAAACGATAATTTATCAATATTTGACGCATCAGCCTTTAAATCTAGAATAAAATTAATTTATTAGCAATCTTTACTAGCATACTTAGAAATCGCAATAAAAAAAACTCTATTCATTGTTTATAATAGATTTACAAGAAACATAATATTTCAATTTAAATGTGCACTGCTTAATCCTATTTTTTTTGTTTTATAACTGTACTTCTACACACTCGTTTCCCGTCGTCGTCCTCTTTGACAGCTGTTTGATATAAAAATCCTTCTTCTCCAAATGCCGGTTAATTTCGGAGCTGGTTTAAAATATCCGGTCACTTTTAATATTATATTTACTTGTAGATCAGAAATTGTTGTTTTTCCGTTACTGGAGAAATAATATCAGATGATTTAGAAGTTAATGTTTATTTAACTTGATTATAAAACATCGATTTTCTTTATTTTTATAAGTATAGTATCCATGTATAATATAGATGCATAAACTTTCAGGAAAAAAGAACTAAGTATATATATATATATAAAGATGGTGATAGCGACTTTGTTTCATAATTTTAAGAGAATAGTATATTGATTTGTTCACCTAACACTTAACTCACATTATATATATGTATAATTATAATATGTCCAATCATGCTGCACCGGAAAATGTTTTTTCGTACTTTTGGTATAATTATTATTCGCATTTCCCCCGATGCGTGTTGTTTAAGATTTTACTATTACGTGCTTTTTTTGTTTCTATAAATAATTTTCCTACCAGAAATCCTGGTTCAATCATAAACTTTATAAGAACTTGCTTGTAAAATGTTTAATCTGTTTAATATTTAACGTGCCGTTTTTTTAATTTTCTTTGGATTTTTCTTGATGAATCGAAGAATATTCGCCGTAATTTTTGTTGATGTCCAACAAGCGAAACAATACGACTAATAATACTCCGTTCGGGATCGTTTATTAACGGTTTATTAATATGTGTATAAATGTAAATTAAACGACTCTCTTCCATACTATAACAGCGATGGTACTCCCATCAGCAATAGGTATTGGCTTCTTTCTTTTTTTTTTTTTTTTTTTTTTTTTTTGGTCCTTTTTTCGTACAGGCGCGCATTTTTTCCGCGTACCTACGCGTACCCAACGCGGCAGTTTGATATCATATCAAATTGAATTGTACGTTTCGATTAGTCATAATGAAACAGCGGATTCGCCCGTGGCGATGTTACCGATGCGATTTGCTAATTGTGAGAATCGCAACGTCGCGGCGAACAATATTATAATATACCCGCGCACTCGAGCCGACGCGATCAATCGCAACGCCGTCCCGGCGTTCCGTCGCAAACGCGCGTGTCGTACACGTAACGATATTGAAACCGTGTAAACGCCGCGTCGATAGATTTTCATTTAATTAAATTTAATTGAATTTAGCCCGCCGCGGTGCGGAAGAAGAACACTGTCGGACACCGGCGAATTTTCGCAAAACGTTTCGTAAAACGCTTGCGCAGGTAACAATCCGCCCGATCGCGACCGACGTCCGCCGGTAGGCGTACACCCGTATAAGTAGGCGTCCGAACAGAACGAACCGAACCGAACCCGCGATCTCGTTGTCCGCGAACGGCGGTTAACGCACGCGAAAAGTCTCACTCTGCAGTGCAAGTAAAATACGAATATTAAAAGTTTACGTAACGTAAAATTCAATCGATTGCATAAAATACGCGCGCGCATTATTATTATTATTATGACTTTTACCGCGAGACAGCTATAATATAGGTTCAATTAAAATCCGTTATGGCTTATACGCGCCGTGTATCGCATTATGGTAATATTAAACAGAAGGCGGTCGATATAAATACGTTTTCAAAATTGTTCAAGACAAGCAATTTCGTTACAGGCGACCGACGTAAGGATTTAATTTAATTTCGAAATAAAAATAAAAAAAAATAAAAATAATAATTGAAAAATATCGGTTTTACGACTTGGCGGACGAAGTACGAGATAAATTACATTTAACGTTTATATTTAGCTATTACCTATTACGCAGGCGTGGAACAAGCAATTGCGGGATGATTTTCGCAAATCTAATTCCGCATTAACTTGCCACCGTCGCCGTCTATAAGATGTACGTGTATGTGTACGCCTGTACACAAGACGTGTAAATTGACATTCTGAAACGAAGTGTAATTGCATTTTAGATTTTCAAATTTGTTTGTATACATGTAAAGTGACGATGTCTACAGTAAAGTAATCTCCGCAATAATGGATTTAACGTAAACGGAAACACAATAATGCACATTAAAACTGAAATCGTGCTGATTTACAACGAAATAGATATTATCGTCTTTCGAATTACGGTCCAGACATACCAGAAAGGAAATCGAATATAGTACGCGCCTGTGACCTATATTGACGTATTAAAGTGAGATATGGTCTAGCGCGCAAGGAAATTAAAAACGTTTATTGGGGTTCTAAAGAAAAGTACTGATTTAGAATGATACCGACGAAAAACTATAGGCAATCTGCGGTAATTTTAAAATAGTCCAAATTTCCGGGACATCTTAGCCGGTAAGAGAGTAATATGAGCTTAATGGGTCTAACCTATCACACGCCTCGCTCATAAAACGATTCATATAAAGCAAAACAGTGTCGACCAAAAGACCAAAAGATGGATCTTATCAGAGATGGTATCATAGCGCGTTAAAAGACTTATAAAGAGCATCAAAAGGCACTATGATACCTTGGCGAGGAATCTAAATGATTAGCATATTACAGACGAAAATATAATATACAATTGGACTGTTTTTGGAGTACGGGACATTTTTGTAACATTATTTAAAACGTTTTCGGTGCGCTTGATATCAATAATTAATTTCCTCGTCGTTTATACTGAAAAATAGTTCATAAGATTGAAAAGAATGTTCTACCCCGCACAGATTCCAATAATTTCCTCCACCTGGCACTATTCATTGTGTCATCTATTTTCGTGGTCCGGTGACAGAACAACGCTCTCTACGCTTTACGTGCTCTTATTCGTCATTCCGAAGTCTTTATTGACCCAATCCAACTTGCACCGTTTCCGTGGTCTTCCCTCGGACGTTTGCCGGATGGTTTGTTGAGCTCCTGCTGTACATTTCGAAGTATACTTCACTCGACTTATTCTGGCCGCTTGGAGTTTGAGATTAGCTTTACATTAGGTTTCGTATACAATACGACTTAAATACGACTGCGACTTATTCGAGAAAGTGGCACAACAATGTATCTACACCACGATATATGCATTTACGAGAAAAATGACGTGTGTGCTTTTACACGATTCGGTTATGTGAAACTTTTCGGTGTATCCGCAATTGGACAAACTGCAGTTGCGTCACATGTTTCATTATTATTATTGTTATTTTTTTTTTTACAATTTATCAAAACGCTGTTATCCGGTGTAGGTACCCTTTCCGACCTCTGACCCGCACACGGATCGGGTTAAACGACGATAATAATGACAGTGATTATTATGGGTTTTTGTATATAATATTATCATTCGCGGACGACAACGGCGGCGGTTTCTCGTACCTGCGATATCATTTGGCGACCCCGCGGCTATAGCTTAACCCTCCGCGCGAGTTCCGCAGCTAAGCGGCCGTTTCACCTTATTGTTATTGGCTTTGTGAATATTATTTACAGTGTATATATTCGAAAGTCTTGTCCGTCTGTCCGCAGCACGAGACACAATTCTGTTATATAATACGTGTTTTTGCTCCGATTTTTTTCCGCACTGCACGGCATAATAATCACAATATCAATTTATCACCGTCGAGCGACTTAACGGACAATAGGTACACAAACTATCTATCTGGTAAAAGTCCACACGGTTTGACAACACACCGCATACGTAAACGCGGTGCGCTGCACGTCGAAGAAAGAAAAAACTAATTTTTCCGAGGGAAAAAAAAATAATTTATCAGCGCAATGTTCTACGCGTCGTATCGTCGTTTTAACTATAGCACACTGTTTTTTTTTTTATTTTTTTTTTTATTAACGACAGAAGTCAAAAATAAAATAAAAGCGAGTCGATATTATTGGTTGATAACTATATTAACACGACTTGGCCGCGGTCAAACTGCACGTTCGTGCGTTTATACATATCATAAAAATATAATGTCGATTGTCGGTGAACGATTTATCGAACAATAAACGGACCGAAACCACGAATGTTATTTTTTCATTTTTAAATTCGCAGTATAAAGAGAAGATTAATTTTACTCATACAAACTATTAGGGTTAGTAAAAATTGTCTTAATGTTTTAAACAGAATAATAGAAAATTAGAAATGTTCACCTGGTATTAGAAAACAAACGTTTCTGGAGATTTTGGCTCTGTGGAACTTTGTTTAAAAACAACTTCTAAATTTCCTACAGTTCATTTATATATTATCTTTAAAAAAAAATGAATACAATTAGTGTTAATGGGTTAAATGGGTTTTTATTTATGTTGATTTCTGAGTTACCTTGGCTACAAATGAAAAAGAAACAATAATAATACTCCACTCAGAATCGTTTTTTGATTACAATGGTTTATTGTTGGTTTACTTATAATATATGTGGTTCATACTCACGTCTCTAACTCCTATTTTGCCTACACCATTTTATTTTGTTAATACTTACCTATGACGCATGTTGCTTGACGTACACCCACACATGACTCCATCCCGCTATAGCTTATGTTAAAACAACTCGTTTTCGTTGTCGTTTTTGCAGGGATTACACTAGTTTTCTTAAAATCGTCACTGTACTAAATTGCAAAATCGTACTAAACTTAAATTATGAAAATAATAAGAAAAATTATTTTGAACATCTATCTAGTCGTTGATTACCCACTGTTATTGTCAATAGTTTTTGTATTTTCGATAATACTAAATTTATATATTTACTTACGTTCATGCCGCGATTGCGGCGCTAGAATTTCTTTAGTAACAATAATTTCATTGCAACAATAATATTTCAATTCAAGATAGTAATATAACCGATTTATGTGTCCGCGAAATGGGACGTTGACAAAATGAGAGTCGTCAATGTGGAAAGACATGATATATATATAAGTACTTGCATTAATTTAGGGACTCTAAATATTGTATACCTTCCGATCTTCCCACTTACTACAGTGGCATGCCACGGTCTGCGCAGTACGTCCGGTATTTTCTTATACTCGAATGTTATAATCCCTTATAACTCTTTATAAGCTTGGTTTACACGGAACGGGATAAGTAATATCTAAAATGACGAAGTAAAGAGTACCGAATGATACGAATTAATCGTTTGGAGATCAGAGTCGTGTGCATAAAAATAATGTTGTTCTCCGACTACTCCCGGCGAAAAATTACTTCCATACTAATGAAAAACGATATATATATATATATATATTTATTTATTATATAGGTGTAGTTGTTGGAGAAAAATATCATAGCAAATTGCAAAAAAGATTTGTTGGCAGTGGGCGGCAATAGTGATAATAATAATAGAATAATGTGTTTTCGAATCGTGACTTTCAAAATACGTGTAAAACGGTCGGCGGCGGCAACTTTGATTGATTTACTGGCGCGGCGCAAACGATCTAGTAGATTATCGTCCGGTTCAGGAATCGCGGGATGTCTCGCGAGATAACATCGCCGGGCCACATAAATAATAATTGCTCACAGCATTACAATACGTATATTCGACAGTGATCGTTTTTCGATTATATTTTTCGTCGTCCGATTGGCTGCGACAACTGCGAAAATCCGGAGTTGTAAAATAAGAAAACCTTGGCTAATAAACCTCGCAAAAGATTATAGAAAACCGTAGATTTATGTGATTTCCCCTTCCCCCACTTTTCACCCACGAGATTTATAAGAATACAAGCGTACCTATACATGTAACGTTACCGCATTCCTAAAATAAAACGTTTTACTACGTGTTTCTTTAAGTACCTGTAAACAACTTTTAGGTAGGAAATTATCGTAAAAACCTGAAATTCTCAACGAATACTTTTATACTCACATTTTTTAGACATGATAATATTTCCAAAGAATACTTGGTGATTTTTTAATAATTTTTGGCTGTTCATAGTATTAAATTTTTTTAAATTCCATACTATTGCAGATAAAATTTGTTTGATTTAGCCAGTCTTCGAAAATTTAATACAACGTTCATCAAAAGTCGTGTTTATAACAACTATATACGAGTGTTGTGTACAAATCTCGAAAATTCGACAGCAGGATTTTATTTTAAACTTATAAAGTTTCAATTTATGATGAAATTCGAAATGCCGTCATTTTTACGGTATTCGTAAAAAGTTGAACTTAAAACGCTTGAAAAAAAACTTGTACAAGACGTGAAAATTTTTTTACTACTAAGTAACTACAAATATTATAGTGAATCTCTTGTTCATCTTTTTGAAATTTCTCCTCGGCAAAACCAATATTATTCACATAAACCCAAAATACCTATGTAAATAGCTCGAAAATCTCCCAACGTTTTGAAAATTCTAACACGTCAACGAAAGACTAAGTATTTTGTATAGACTTCGAGTCTCTGCAATCATTTTTTATTTGAATTTCAACAAAAAAAAAAAGGTAGCAATGAAACTCTAGTTTTCCGAATTATAAAGAAAACTACAGGAAAAATAAAAACACTACCACCTCAATGCACCAACGAGGTACAATTTTCTTTCAGAAAATACGTTACGCTTGAAAACCGGAGCGACATGTTAACGAAAAAAGTCGTTTATAGATGGGAAAAATAAAAAAAAAGAAGAAATCGCCGTAGTAAAACCAATATATTTACACTCTTCGACCGTCGTTATCGTAGTTAATTTTCATCAACGTTTCAAGTGTCGAATTCGCGGGCAAACGTAGCTACGCGAACAATCAACATCATCAATTATAATTGTAATGCACGTAATTTTTCGTAATTACGAATTAATAACAGTTTTCGATTTCGTCTCAAAAATAAAATATCACTCCGAAGCGGCCGAACGATGGTGTACGTATTCCGTTCGCAGCGGTTTGTATCGTGTTATACACACGCAGTTACAATAAACCGATCTATACATTATCATAATAAAATATGTGATTTTTTTTTTTCTCTCGTTCATTTCCTATAGCAAATATATACAAATAATAAAAAATAAACCGTTCCGGCGTCGGTGCAAAGTGTATGCTGTATACGCCGCGCGGTAAGAGATGATATATGTATTTATTGTGTTACACGCCGCCGCGATTCGGTTCACTACGCGCCGGCGACGACGCCGACTGCAGTTTCACGATACGCACGCCGTAAACAGTTAGCCGGACGACGTGTGTACAATATATATATATATCGAGAAATAGGTCTATATATTATCGTATTATTATTATTATTAGAAATATTGTACGGTCGGACACGCGGTAAAATATTACGTTACGATGATAATAATAATAATAATAACATCGATGCCGGTGTCACGACGAAAGGGTCTAAGCGACACTCTGGGTATAAAAACGACGATGAAAGCTACGAGCAAAAAAAAATACGCCCTGAGATAACGGGGACGGGTGCAGCCACTGGTGTAATTCAATGTATACCGGTAGGCAACGATAAACCATTGCTTGCGAAAAAACAATTCTGAGCGGAGTTCAGTCGATAATGATGCTTTGGCAACAATATGAGTGTCAAATTATGGTAAAATAATTAAACAGGCTCTATATATTTTCTTTGATAATATTTGTTTAGTGTTGTACCGATTTCTCCGGTTTTCGGAGAAAAACGACCTCTTTAAAGTACCTCCCCACACCGATTTCCTTTCAGAAAAGTTGCTATACGTGCAAATCAGAGCAAGTTTTCTGGTAGAAAAGTTGTCCACAGAAAAAAAAAACCATCTTTATAAAACCATAAACTTCGTCGCTTCGCTGAGAATCTAAACAGTTTTAAAATCACAAATTAATGTTTTGTGACTCTTCCGAAAACTATGAATTGCGTCGCTCACGCCCTTTTACCGCGTCGCCATCGATATGTCACGCGGTAGGAGCGAAGAAAAGTTGTTTACATACTTACGGAAAAAAAAATTTGCACACATACAGTGAAACCAATAGGTTACGGTAGAATTTAAAAGTTATTTTTTCAAACAACGAAAAACGGCTCTGTCGAAACGTCGGTGTGGGCGACACGAGCCCGGACGGTTGTGGCGACAAACAATCGCTAAATTAGGTAGCTATTATTATAATAATATGATCGTTGTTGTTTTTTATTTTTTTATTATTATTTTTTGTACATGCCGGTGCGGTTCGTCAAATCTGTACGTCAACGACGGTAATAATACGTCCGCGGAGACAATGGGCGATACGAACGGTTCGTCATTAATATTATAATATTTGTATGCATTGTCCGTGTGTTTTTACGGCCGTGCGATGGGCAGTCGACATCCGCGAAAACCACACAAACGCATTCGTGTCCCTGACAATGAAACGTGCGGCTTCCGCGTAAAATTGTAAAATCGTTTCCTATACACCTACTGTTTTTCGGGTTTGTCGAATTTCATCCGGAAAATGAAAATACAATTTGTTCCCGCGGCATTCCCGTCACTTTTAGCGGCAGCTCCGAATGCAGCGAGTTAAATGAGCCCGGGGATTCGGGAATAAGAGCGTTGTTGTTATCGGCGAATCAAGATCGGGTGATTCAAGAGTTGGATTCAATTTCGCTATAAATACTATTATTGGAAAGTTGTTTTTTTTTTTTTACTCAAATAGAGTATTTTTTTGGATTTTAATTGAAACACATTTGCATTCCCCGGGGCCCCGTATAAAGTTAGAGAGATGAAATATTCTATTATGTATTGTGTTAATGTCAAGGATGTACATTTTGGGAGGCCATCATCACCCTTACGGCAGCTGCAGTAATCTTTATTCTCAAATTACATCGTGCATTTTAGCACGTATTTTTGAAAGGGAAAATTATTTTTAGGCTTTAAACACTTCTTCAACCAAGCTAGGACAGTGCAATTTCGTACACGCATTATGTTAGCGTTAAGGATGAACCTTTTGGAGGTTTCGACTTTCAATCGCCCTTACCATGGGTATGATCGATCGTAAAAATCATATTAATCACATTAAAAATCGTAAAATCGCATTAATTTATTGATACATACCTACAATTTTTCGATTAATTTAAGTTCAATTTGTTCAGCCTCACTGACTATAAAAATATCAGCAAAGTATCGCAATGATTTGGTTGCAAAAAAATTGTTTTCTTCAACGCATAGGTTGGCTTACGACTCTATTCTATTGCTCGCCTTGAAGGTTTTTACTATTTCATAGTTTTTAATTCATCCAATATAAGAGTTACGTTATCGTCCTATAAGATTTTTTCTATCATGCCTTCAAAGAGTATATTTTGAAGCTTTTCTGGGAGTCTCGAGGTATGCCCAACCATTTTCAAATTTCTTACACCTATCACATTGATACGATTTTCGTAAAAAAATTGTTGGTACATTTTCACTTGTTTTCCTGTCCATCCGATTTATTTTTTCCAAACGTCTCCTGCACCACATTTCAAAAGCTTTTAATATTATTTTCCCCTTCCGGTATTGTAATAATATGTGCAACTCGCGTTTAACATCCAAACGTTTCTACGCAACAGAAATACGTTTTAAATAATAAGTGTTTTCTTAATATTGACGAATCTTCTTTACGATAAGCCCGAAAACAGTGTACAATAACGTTATACAAAAAGCATCAAGCATGTTTTTAGATTGTAACGGTGCAATAAATTATAATGTATATAGTCACAGCACAGTTTTTTTTTTTTATCGCGAGGACAACAGATTCCGCCGTGTTGTTTGTTATAATAATAATATGTAAATTCACTGTAAATAAATAAATCACAACCGGATTAGTAATTGTTCCCCGTAAATCAACGCACAATTCTTTCGGACGAATAAATATAATGCGAACATTTTTGCCGATTATCAAAACCTACGCATTTATTGTGTAACGTATTTTTTTTATAACACTTGAGACCGAATATCTACGTTCCGATCTGGATTTCAATTAATCCGTGTACTGTACCACGTAATAGTATTTGAAACAACCGCTGAAAAAAACAAATTTTTCCGATTTGGTACGTTCGCGAATAATTGCGCGTGCATATTTCGCGTCAAAGTTACTTAAAACCAAATTCGTGTGAAGGATAATAGTTTTACTTGGAAAAGTGTTACAAAGAAATACCGAATACGCCCATATTTAATTCGGTGTACTTAATTTATATTCTCAATTTAGAGTGATACGATTTTTTTCTCGGTAAACACATTTGTGGACATTTGATGAGTACTAAGACGCTCCGATTTCGTAATGCATAGCCCTAAAATATGTGAAATTTCCTACTTATAGTAAATATTCCGTTCACAATATTGTTGCATATGGCAGTGGTTTTCAACCTTTTATCAATCTGTTTAATTTTTTGTAAAATGACCGTTTCAAAAATTGTTTAACAGAACTCGGATATTACTATATATATTGTGTATACACGTATGCAGTATATACGGTACTTACGGTTTTCGGAAATCCTAACTATCACTCATGTCCCCTTTGAGGGTCGCGACCTCCGGGTTGAAAACCACTGACATGCAGTATAATTACCTATACAATTATTCGATTACCTTCTCAACTACCCACATACAACAGTGGTCTATCGATTGCGCGATGTGTGTCCGCTTGTTTTTGTACGGCTGCTATAGGGTGTAACAAAATAACTTTAAGGATTTGAGTTTCTATTAAAACCAACGTGAATTCAGTTTTATGTTAATAAAAACGAGAAAAAAAAAATAACAACGATCCCCTACTGTGTGCGTCATGTTTTTTCGTTGTCAACAACTACTACACATCTCATTATTATACCTTTTCTACGCTGAACGCGGCAAAATGTTTATTCGTTTCCAATTCAATACTTCAGTTTCTCTTCCTTCTTCGTGTAGGATTTCATTTAAGTATATATAACATGCATTATGCATGAATACAGTAAGTCTGTGTACCGGCCGATGTGACCTCGAGTAGTAAGTATCTGTATAATACAGAGAAGAAACAACACACAGTTCGCCACTACCGTTTCTGGTAAAATGTCCGTAATTACATTACATTGTGCGACCAGTTCTAGAGTACGGTTCAGTCGTAAATGAACACCCTAGGCATGTAGTCGCTTGTTCAGAAACTGACGAAGTGCATCGTAAATTACGGATCTCTGTGGTCGACCACCATGAATCCATGAACCTACCCTGAAAAAATCCAATACACTCGTATCATCTCTCGTAAACCGTCAATATTCTCATATTAGATAGCCTATATTGTCTTTACAATCTATAATTTCTGGTGTCAACTTTTCTGTCACTTATTCATTTTAAAATATCTTCTTAATGTTATAAAACACAATGTTTCTTATCTCGCATCAATCGTCGACTTTTAGCAAAATGAACCTATTAACCGTATTATTGAACGTATTTAACAGACAATGATCTTCTCGTCTCCTCTGTTTGACTCGTACACTATCTCCCTGTCAACTCTCGTTTTTTAAAAAGGTTTATCTATTATTATAGTTATATTGTGTTTTTCCCCAGGCGAGTAAGTTAATTATCGCGATTGTTAATTACCAGCGATGCTCAACCTTTGTGTACATGCGAACCAAGATTTTATGTGTACCTAATTTTTTTCGCGACATTTTTGAAAATTTAAATCTGTGGGCTACGTCTCTCTTTTATCCCTCTGCATGCATTAATTACGAATTTAACTATCAATTTAATTTAATGCAGCGAGAGATTAAGTTTGTCTATCTTATTTAAAAACCTTTCCTCTTTTTCTTGATTTAATTTTTAAAACATTATTTTTTTTTGTTTTAGTTTAAAATATTGGAACGATCCAATTAAATATTATTTTTGACCCAAAATTTAAGAAACGCTTTTAAATACTGACTTTTACACACGTATAACCAAAGATACGGAACACGTATTTTGTACGGACATTCGTTGTTATTATAATTATTATTATTATTTTTTGCTAGTTTTCGCTTTTACGCACGCTAACAATGAAAATAATTTCAATCATTATTAATTCATTAGATGGTCAATTGTAGATAATCGTACGATTTTACTACTTGTATTTAACAATAAATTCTCGTTATTAACTCTAATCGACAAGGTCAGGTGTGGTAATAATAATATAATAATGCATTTCTTCGATTAATTTTATTTAGGTAGGCATTATACCTAAGGCTCGTAAAATAGCATATAATTGAAACGTAATTACAAAAATAATAATTAAATATCATTGTTTATAGGATTATTATATACTATAGTAAAGTTTTTTTTTTTTTATTATGCGTGTGAACTAACATAATAATATAATTTCACAGATTAGAATTTTTAAGATTGTTGTCTATATTAATTACCGAATATACATTTTTAATATTATTTTTAAAACAGAAAAAAAAAAGGATTTTAAAAATGGTAATTATTCTAGATTAATGTTCAAATATTCAGTTTCTAACAGTATACTCGACCTTTATGACAAATTTACTATATTTGTGGTAGCTAATATTATAAAGTACGGTTTTTGTAGTACTAAAAAAAAAAAACCATGTTCGAAATAGAGCAGTGGTAAAACTCATTGGGAAAAAAAGAGCAATAATAAAGATATTTTCTTCTTTTTTTAATTTTTTTATGTAGGTAATATTTTACAGCTCTTGAACCTAAAACCCGCGTATTGAGGATAATCAACAATACTCAATTTTGGATACGCACTTGAAAGAAAAATATTGTGCAAGATCTTTGGACGGGTAAAGGATTTAGGATAATATAAAAGGAGGATGGAAACGAGGGAAAACAGGCGAACAATGTATTCTAGAGATCTTCGATTAGGAAGGAATATATTGTGTCTAAAACATTCAATCATTGCACGTGAAAAACGATATTGAGTGGTGTTCGGTTGAACATATTTTTTTTATCACTAAAGCAACCGAGAAATCTATAAAAATAATACCAAACTTTTCTATTTTTTCCGATTTATTAGGGAAAATACTAGAAAAATCTAAAACTATTTTCCTCTATTCATCTACTAGATCAAAAATGCTATAAAAAAGATCCTAAATAGATTTTGATTGGAGCGATATAGAAAAGTTGCAGGTTACAGACGCACCAACAAAAACACACCATTTCACAAATCAATACATTCCTCGCTTCGTTTAGAATCGAAAATAATAGTACACGAGTGTATGGCAATATAATGAATAAAAACAAACAAAATAATCCAGAACTGTTTTTTTTCTTTCTAAATTATGAAAAGGATAAGGAACGTTAGGGAACGCGAAAATTACTCGGCCAAAAAATAATTCCATTAAAATCGCACCAAAACGCATTCGCTTTAATTGCAATAATAACCCGAATGAATAGTTTTCACTTTATTAAAATTTTAATACTATTATAATAAGTCCGATAACAATATTACCGGGACCAATTTCACGAACAATATCGGCAAGTATAAATATTTGTATTGTGTATAAGTAGGTAATATCAGGTTACTAGGTTATGTTGGCGTATTGATCGTATTATCAATGTAGTTTATGATCGATAGTGATTTTTTTTTTTTTTTTTAAGTGTTTATTGTTACATCGATAATACAAAATACAATATTAAGATCATTTTATTATGAACAGTGTTTATAAATTTACAAAAAAATAATAATAATAAATACGAATAGGCAATAATCGATCTTTACGTCATTCCGTCGATTTTTTTTTTTTAAATATAGAATAAAACGAGTTGTTTGGACACTCGCCTACTTTGGTGTAGTATAGGCACCTACCTATCTACCTACCTACATTGTTGTGTACAATCGTTTTTCATGGTTTTTTTTTTTTTTTAAATAGCAAATAATAGGCTTAGACCTACTTATAAAAAAACATGTTTTAACAATTTTCATATATTGACCAGTTTTAATAATATTTTAAAAATAACACGTTTGAGTTTATCAAATAAGAACCTAACTATATGTAGCTTATTTTTATTTTGGGACATTGAGGCAATGTACCTACTGTCCGAATCAGTCTCGGGTCCTGGGAATTTTCAGTGGGACAGGATATGATCGTAGGTATTAAATAATAAAACCATTAATAAATCGTAGAATCTTCCTTTATACCTAACCCGACAACAGACATTTAAAAACTAGATCGAAAAGAGCCGGATTTGTTCTATAAATCAATCTATTATAACTTGGCCACAATTTATATTATTTCAAAGTTAAATTACCAAATAAATAATCATAGTTTTAGTATTTTTAAGCCAAAGGATATAATTCTTAATATCCTTCGTCTGTGCAAACGCCATCGATCTAAATTAAACGAAGAAAATTGCACTATTTTCAATCGAATTATTTTGTTCATATTGTTTTCTGAATTTAAATTGAAACTAAAACCATCATTGTGTAAAAGTATAAAAGCTCTGGACAAACGTATTAAATCTAAAACATCTTATAAATAAAAATTAACGTTTATTATTTAAAAAATTGTGAGAATTGTAAAAATTTGAAATAATGAGGTCGTACCCACACTGTAAATTCATTCGTTTTAATTTTACATCTTTTTCCATTTATTATGAAAATTGCTTGAAAAATCAAAAATGATGTCTTTAATGCGCCAACTAGAAAATGTTCTAAAATACAACAAAAAAAGGTAGTCTGTCATTTTTTGATTGGAACAAGTTTTGAGGTCGAAAAGTTGTTTACAAGCAAAAATCATACATCATAGTATAACCAATAAATCCCTCATTGCTACGCTCAAGAACATAAAATAATCTAAATCAGTGAATCGAGACCCCGAAAAATTGACTGAACAGGGCCTAGACATTTTTTAAGCCAACCCCGATTATACTATTTGTCATAAATGTTCGCTATAGTCATCAAAAACCTAACGAATTTCATTGTAAGACTTGTATAATAATAGGCGCACGCATAGGTGCAAATAGGCCACCAACTTTTTGGGAGTGCTAAAATTATGAACACATTTAAAACCCACGGGAGCTATGTCCTACAATCCTCTTTATACGATTCTTACAATAGGTAACTACACGTTTCATTTACAACTTTGTATGTATAAATTAATCATAACATTTTTAACGTTATTTTTCATACACACGTGCATTGTCTGTAGGAAATCTCTATTTTATACTGATTATGAAATACACGGATATAGTATTTAGTTCTTACCATAAGAAAAAACTTATTGGGTTTTTCGATAGGAGGGGGGTATTGATTTTAATCTTAAAGGTACGAAAGACCTCCTAGCACCTCAAGCCCTCTCGTTTTGTCTATGGACTCCCATCGTCCACGTGTTCCGAAACGATCGATTATTAAACATTGTAAGTACATGTACCAGCACTATAATATGTCATCGTGTCCACAAACAGGGTACGGACGCGCGTACAGAACCATTCGGAAAACTGATCACGTAGGAAGTAAATACTCGTATAATTTATATTACTGTAATATCATTTTATAGTGACTGGCAGCGGCTGTGTCGCGGACGTATTATAGTCGAAATGGATCAAACGTGAAAAAAAAACAAATATATAACATACCGAGTAAACAATCGATTAACGTGATCTAACCTGAATTTTATCTGTATACAATAATAATAATATACGATACGTGAAGTATTGCGAATTATATTATACTCGTTCGCGTAACAAAAAAAAAAAAAAAATGGTGTTGGGCGGTATCGCTCGCAGTATATGATACGAGTATAAAGGCAGTACGAATTATATTATGCTCACGACAGTATACCGAATATACCTAATATTATTATAAAATACGACGCGCGTTGGAAAGTTGTCGAATTACTATGTTATTATTATTATTATTATCCGTATTATATTTGTAAAACCGTTCGATTAATAATAAATTTGTCTGTGCGCGGCCGCGGCGAACAAATAAAAAAAAAAAAAACGACCGTATTACAAAAGACGCGATTAAAAAACGAATGACCCCCCCTACTTCAAACGGCAACGATAATATTAAAACGGTACCCACACGCTCGCAGTATGAGTACTTTTTCTAACGATATTAATGTACAAAGTGATTTATTCTATCGGGAGAAATACTACCGCGGTTCCGCAATCCGCCCGTTTAAACGCGATGGAAATCATACAGGTATACGACTTACGAGTGGTGTACCCGAACCGCTGCACAGCACTCGTTTCGTAGCTATACATCATATAATACGTAAATGTACATCCAATTTTAGGGTAAATCGAATTATCGTCCGGTGACGTTTTGAAAAGGGACGATTAGGGAGATGTTTATTTTTTAGAATTTATTTTTAAAACCGAATTCGTTTTGAATGTCTTGGCACCTATACCTGTTCACATTTAAAACGAAATCTACAAGAATCGTCATGCGTAGGAAGTTAGTTAAGAAGGTACAGGTACCTAAATAGTAAATAACGTGAACAATTAGCTACCTATAGTAGGGCGTATTGAACGATAAGTCGATACAAACATAATAATACATCAATGAATAATTTTTTTTTTTGTTTTTATCCTTGGTACAAGTTTTACAATATGAGCGAAATATCGAATGTGCGTATTTGACCGTCTTACTGCGAACGGTGGGAACCAATTCGACCAGTAGCGCAGGCTACATCACAAATCTAAATGGGAACCGATAATTCTGCTGGCCTTCATAAAACACCTTTTTTTTTTTTTCAAACGAGAACCAATTCGGTCAAATGGAAATCAATTCGGATACGCTCTTAATATATTATATAAATGTTATTGTATTTAATTAGCCGTTGCAATAACAATCCGTGGGTTCCTAAATTTAGCAGATTAGTCAGCTGCTAGATTTAACTGTTACTAAACTCAGCTGCTGACCAATTTGTTGGAGGGGAAGTGATCAGTCGCATTGCTTTATCAGCAACCTGATAACTTTTGAATGGAATGGTGTTTAACCAGATGGATATGATAAACACTTTAATTTACGCGCCAAAATTAAAACTACCAATCTATATTTGACAAAAAAAAAAAATGTGTCATGTTAAAATGTGTTGTCCGATGTGGTAACGTGTTTCAATATTCCAATTCCAACACTAGACATGTGTAATACAACGGAAGTACGGTTTTTGTACGCTGGAAATACTTTTACAAAACATTTAGACGCTGACTCGATTTGTACATCGTTTAAGCCTGGTGCGTACACCCAAATACCTATATTATATCTTATTGTAACTTTTAATCAAACGTTTTATGTTTGTAGGTCTCGATGGAAAAACGGTAAGAATAAAATATCGGTGATATCGCCCATTGGTAACATTAAATAACGGTGTTAACCAATATGTTCCAAATGAATAACAAAAAAAAAAAAAAAATAGTGTTCCTAAACCCTGTCGATCTGCTGAGCGCACCGCTGGATCGGCACGTCGGTTCAGGAACACACGGAATACCGTTAAGCGTATTTGGGGAAATAATAGCCGCGCGACTCGCGGTACCTAGCCAACGGCCGTGGTACCGCTGCGGTGTTGTCCGCCGATCGGGAAACCGACAACAATATCGTACGGCCGTATTGGCGCGGTGACGTTGACAATATTACGCGTGCGTTATATTTACCGATGCGCGGGGTAATTGTTTCCACAAGCCGTCGTTCCATTATTGTGCGGTAACATCGCGTTGAGTGTGTGCGCCTACACGAACACAGAAATAACGCCGTGTGTACAATAATACCGTGGCGTGCGCGCAATTGCAATATTCCGGTGGCCGGATTATTATTAATTTCGAATATTTTTATTTTTTTCAAACGCGACGGGCGTGTGCCTGCATGTTGCCGGTACGAAAGACCATCATTGTCCTCTACCGTCCAATGCCACGCGGTGCAATAATAATCGTAATATAATTATACCGCGGTTTAAAGCCGGCGACGACGGCCTTCCCCGCACGGCAAAAACGTCCGGAGCGAAATATTAATAACGTTATTTTATCGTAATAAAACGATGTTATTGTTATTATTTA